TTATAATGAACGTAGACTAGTTTATGAAGCTTCTCAGAAGCGAGTCGATTCCTCCTAGTAGTGTGCAACCATTGGAACGTACTCCAGTTGCGCTCAAAGCCAGTAGCAGAACATATCTGGGAGAGCACCTTGATTGCTATCCTCTTTAGGTGAGGTGCATCAGTACCATATATCTTCACCATTCAGCTGGATTAAAATGCAAAAAGCATTGTAAGGCCAAGAACAATTCATAAGATTAAATATATGAATGAACAAAATATTAGCGAGGGGATAACCTGGATCCATCATAGTTCGAGAATTCTTGGCAAGTCTAGTTCCGAAGGATCCTATAGCATCCCTATACATAGCAAGCTAAACAAATATATTACGTTTTAATGCATTATTCCTCACAAATATAACAACTCAAGAAGTTCTTACCCAAACATTAAATAATACCTCTTGTATTGCTGCTATTTGGTTTCGATGGCTTCTCTCCAACCTTGCAGTAGTGTATCTGACCCCTTCCATAATCTTATGGGGTTGTTCAGGTGTCAAATAGAAAAATTTTGGGTTGAAGTAGTAACCTAAAAAATATATAGGCAAAAAAATGTCATTTACAATTTTATAAAAAAATGATTTAAACTGAAACATTGTAATGATATAAATATATATTTACCAGCATAATGAATTGGACGTCCAAATTTGATGTTCCACCTCCTTTTTATAACTCGATCACTTTGCTAACAAAATTACACTTTTCCCCAATAGCTGATTTCGCCCTCTCAATACCTTCATAAAGGATACCCATGGTAGCTTTCTTGTCAGCATCTACCACTCTTAACACCGTGACCAAAGGGGCAGTGGCCTCTACAACACTGGAACATCGAGACTAGAACCGTTTATTTGAGACTATGTTGTCCACTTTTATACTGGTACTGGACTTCGAGAGGCGGTCATTTAACCACTCTTCACAGGTAAACAATCTCTTTAATGCACCTTCAGATTTTCTAATGGAGTCTACAGCTAAGTAATCGATCGCAAAGCGGGTTATGGCAGGCCTGATTATCTCTTTTTTCTTAGAGTGTTCTCTAAACAGAAATAAAATTTTAGAGTGGTTGTATATAAATCTCGACACCAACCTTGCTTCCTCTAGAGTCTCCTTCACAATTTTGATCTCACCGATCTCCTCGAACATAAGATCGATGCTGTGTGCAGCACACGGGGTCCATACTAGATGCTTCCTCTTATCCATCAACTTGCTGCCTGTAGAAACACATGCACATGCATTGTTTGTAATAAACTGGACTACATGCTTATCTCCCACCTCCTCCACTATCTGATCATATAGTCGTACGTAGAAGTTTGTATCATTCTTCGTCCCTGATCCGTCTTTGCTAGACAAAAAAGCTGTACCTTTTGGGAATAGACCAAGAAGTTTAAAAACTCCTTTTTGCTAACTTTATTCAACCAACCATCACTCATGAGAGTAATGCCTGTCCTTGGCCAACTCTGTTTATATTCTTCAATCCACTTTTTAATTTCCTCCACCTCTTCATCTAATATTGGCCCACTGAGCTCATATGCAGTCGGGGGTTTTACCCCGGGCCCGACTCTCTGGATTGCACTGACTATAGGTGGAAAATATGGGCTATTGGCTGCATCAAAGGGAATCCCTTTATCGTAGAACCATTTACCAATATATCTCCCTAACATATTTCTTGTACCTTTAACCATGCCTTTTAGGGTCATCTGTTGTGACTTAGACTTTGAGAGAAATGGGTCGTTACGACCATGACCTGCAATATTGGCACTCTTAGGTAACTTAGAAACAATTTCTTCAACATCTGATTCTCCTTGATACATATTGCCACCAACACCTCCATACATATTTGAGCTGGGCCCGCCATACATGCTTGAGCTGGGCCTGCCATGCATATTTGATCTAGGCCCACCATGCATAACTGAGCTAGGCCCACCATGCATGTCTGAGTTAGACCCACCGGGCATTCTAAACCCACGTTCCCTCTGATATTGTTCATGTAAACTCAATCTTGTGGCCATGTCCAGCTCATTATTATATTGCTCTTCTGTATCATTCTTACTTGATGGTGTATATAAACTAGCTATCTTTTCATTCATTCTATGTTTGGCAATTTTTTTACCTTTGTTAGCATTAAGAATTGCCGCCATCTATTTTTTTACATTACTAGGGACACTAGTTCATGCAGAAACTTCTCCCTTAACCCCTACCAAGTGTTGCTTGAACCTATATCACTATTTGACAGTAATTACAAATAATTTTGTCTTTTTTGTTGGGATCAAGTCTGACCCCATGTTGCCATGCAGGGTCTTCTGCAGATCTTGACATGATTCAACTGTTTTAAGATGTAAAAAGTATAAAATTAACCTGACAGTTCAAAAAGAAAAATAATCACCATGTGTAGTGATAATATGTTGCGGTAGTTCATGTAGTCATATTTGTTGTTATTTGTTATTACAAAATACCTTTATTGACAATAATATTTTCGTACATATCAATTACAAACATTCAGAATAATATAAAACAAAATGCAAGCTCCAAACATGGCTACGACTCAATTATCAAGAACATACATTTTTTGCATTAAAAAATTTATAATAAAAACAATTCTTCACAGAGCCAGCTAACATCAGTCATCTCAACTAAAAAATCCATGAACAATAGATAAAAAAAATACAGTTTTTCATTAAAAATATAATAACATGCATTTTTTTGCATAAATAATCT